ACTTGGAGCAGTTACTCAAGTACTGTACTTGTAAACTTTTGAGGTATTTGTGTATGACTACTGTATAGACTTAGACTCCATCACATTTTAGAGGCAAATATTGCATTTATTCGACATCTTAAGTTACTTTACAGGTTCAGATGATTAATACAAAAGATAATCAACAAATGGATTATTACATATTCAGCAATATATACAGTGAAGTAGTTAAAAATTGCCCTTCCTTTACCAACTGCAACATTGTGGTGTGGTGCTCGCACATTAATGCGTCAGTAATTATAATCCAGCAATATAAAATATATTCTTCTGCATGACACATTCTGCATGACTATCACTTTTGGTACTTTTTTATTTATTTGATTGATTTACACTAATATCTAATCTAAATGCTGTGCCATTAATGTCACTTCATGAAGTTGTTGACAAATACATAAAACAATGTAATAAAAATGACCATTTCCCATAGGCCCATTAAAATCCAGCGGTGGAGAGTAACTGAGTATATTTAGTCAAGTACTGTACTTAAGTACATTTTTGAGATACTTTACTTGAGTATTTACATTTATGCTACTTATACTTCTACTCCACTACAATTCATAGTCAAAGTTCACATTTTATTTTTCATGCAACTGTTCATTTATAATGTGTCCTTCATATTATTGACGAACAGTTGTTTCAAAGCCGTTGCTTCACTTCTGAATGGTAATCTGATGAAGAAGACTAAACACATTTTATTTCCTTTCTTTTTTTGTCAGATTTTAAGTGAATTTAATCTGAATCTGAGGATCAAAATCAGCCTAAAACAGGCCATTATGTGCAATGTGTGTGTAGTCATAAAATGTAAACTTGTCCTCATGTCATTGAACCCCCCAGATTTCCAGAGATATGACAGAGGACATGACCTCAGTGTCCTCTGTGTTAGCTAGCTACAGCCCTGGTCAGGAGTCAGTTACCTTAAAACCCTGGCTGAAGGGGACTCTGTAGGTGGAGCTAGTGGGTTTAAAAGGTCATCACTGGGGGTCAAAGGTTGTACAACATTTTCCTAAAGGAGAAGTGAATCAAAAACACAGTGGAGGAAAGACAGGCTGACCCTTGTCTCATTGTGCAGGGCAGAGGAGGAGGGAGTGGGGCTTTCCATGCCACTGCAGGCTGAATACAATACCATCTTTGAGTGAAAGACAGATTGCTGCTGGTGTAAGACAGAACAGCGCCGCTGTCTACCTCTGTGGCTGCTTTGTGGGCTCATTGAATAACAAACGTAGAGACATTTACCTGCCCAATTTAGCTCGAATAAGTCTATAATGTCCTTTTACATCCACAAGGAAGAATTAGGCCGGATCCTTAATTATGCCAATACTCCAAGGCATCATCAGCTATACTACAAATTGTTTATATTCATATCAGCCCCTAGTGATTTGAGAGCTTGAGTTGAAGGCTGGCTGCAGTTAAAAGGGGACGGTAAGTGCTGCCTGAAATGAATACGAAAAGCAGCTGGGTTTATCTTCACTCACTCTGTGACATGTGCTGCTAAGAGAAAACAGGTGACCAAGGAATGTGTGCTGAAACCCAAACATAATACTGGAGCTCAAATGATTTGTTGCCACTTAGCCAGATCTGTATTTCTGAAGACATTTTATTTACTTATCTAGTTTCTGTATCATAAATTTCTCTGTCCTTATAGGTTTTTCTTGTCTTGTCAGTACACCTCTCCTTATTCCTGTCTCTCTTTCATGGACACACAAGTTGTACATGTTAGCTGTTAATTTACTGTTATTCAGCATGAGAATGACATTTTAATGCTTAAATGGTAGGTGTTTTTAAAAACGAACATGCAAACACAGAGACACAAAGACACTTCACAGTGAACCTTATTTTAATGCTGCTCTGGATAAGAATATCAGATAAATGCCCAAAATGTAAATGTAACATGGACTGAGTCAGACACACACACACACAATGGATGAGAAAGTGATAGCCTAAGGTGTAGATTTCAAAAGTAAGTATATGATCTTCATGCCTGAGCTCTTCAGACACACCAGTTGGATATATTTAGAGTCCCTAGCTGGTGTATCCATGCTACAAGGCAGGCCACAATTATTCACAACACTGGAAAGGCCAGCACTGGTCTGAGATCAGTCAAGGGGGGAGTGCATGTGTGTCGACTGGTACGGGACAGGATTAACACCATAAGAGTCAGAGGTCAGGGCCAGTGGTCTACTCATATTAAATGTATATGCCAGAAACTCAGGCGTTTTAAGCGTAAAATATTTCATATTCAATTTTTATTATTACAAGAGTTGGTACAGTTTAAGTTTTCCACCTAAACAGTGACTTCTATGACTGAAAAGTATTTAAACTTTCAGTATACAGTCCTGAAGGATGATAGCCTGACAGCTATAATCAGAGATCAAATAGAGCTGGTACTGTTGTCATACACCAAAATGAGCAGTGATGTTGGCCTGCGATGGACCAACTGTGGAACTTCTGCCCTGTTTCCTATTCACCCATTATGTTCACTGTGCATTGAAGAAATAAAAATGTAACATACTAATAACTTAATTAACTGGAACAGAACTTTGAACATGACTTTGAACTGTTAAGACTGTTGTTGAGCAGCTGTCTTAAATCCCACTCAAAGGATATAGTTCCTGAGGGACAGTGGGACAAGGACATCCTGCCTCATTCATACCAGATATGTTCACAACTATACAAAAGTGGAAAAAGACAAGAGTTTTGTGTACTTGTTGTTTATGTTGTAACCTGTGACTGACCTCTACTCCCCTCTTTGAAGCTCCGTCCCTTCTTTCTGTTCTGACTAAATGAATGACATATTTCCTTATACTCAAAATTAATTATTAGCCTAATGCAGCCCTGTAATAAATCCTATCTTCATGAAGGTTATAATGTTCAGGTTTTGTTGAAACTGTTTAAGGAGGTGTTGATTCAACTGTACAATCATTTTGGAGGCTGTGGTTTGTGGTGCTGTTGAATTGAATTGCCTATCTCCATTAATATAAATGGGGTGAAGAAACTAATAGAGACACCTGTCATTACAATGCAATACAATACAATGCAAACTGCAGCCTCCAAAATGACATCAAATTAACAGCTCTCTGAAACAGATTCAACAAAACCTGAACATTATAACCTTTGTGAAGATATGATTTATTGCAGGACTGTTGCATTAGCTTTAGCTATGGGCACATCAAATAATTAGGCAACCCAGTGTAAAGGTTGGTTATCCCATAACTTCCACTGGCTGTAGGAAATAGTCTTTAACATCAGTGTTTCATGAGTAGTGTGTCAAAGCAGCACCATCTAGTGGCAATTCCAAACATGTCATCCTTATGTTTGATGAAATCCTCTATAATTTAATCCATTTGCGCAGTTTCTGCTGTAGTTATGTAATGAATGCATAACAGACCATGAAAGTGTTATACTTGAGATGGATAAAGTCATTTTTTGATGTTTTGAAGGATGTTGTGCAGTTAATTCTATTATTGGGAAAATTTCACATTCACAAGAAGAGATGGACAGTCTCCAAACCATTTTTTAAAAATCAAGAACTGCATTAATAAAAGACAAGGCACTTAAAACTTAATTGGTTCTTTGATAGATTTCTTATGGCTCGATGATACAAAATTTGTATTATAGAATTTGTATTAGGCTACTTTTTCTTAATATTTCTTTTTCTCTCTCTTTTAACTTTAAATATGAGAGTTTTTGTGTGCATACTGTTGATGTGCATGTGTTGTCTAAAATAAAGAAATAAAGAATTTATACAGTATTGTACTTCTGAGATTGTGCCAAAGGTGACAGTGGGTAAAGCTCTCACAGGAAATCCCGCCTCCCATCTCCAACATATAAACATATAAATTAACAGCGCCCCCTAATGGATGGTTAAAAATATATATATATATTTTTTACAGTTGTGCAGAATACATAGTGCAAAGTCTGTGTAGTTAGTATCAGTGTGATGTAATTGACCTTGAGTGCCATCGGGTTAGTTTTAAAATAGCCTACCTGACTGCACCAGAGTGAACATGAGGACTTCTGCTGTGCTAGTGTTGAAACTACGACAGCAGCACAACTGTAAATAGAATTTGGCAGCAAAATTACAAATAGAGACTGTTTTTCTTTTTATTATTACTGTTATTATTATTATTATTATTATTATTATTATTGTTATTTATTTTTATTTTTATTTTTTTACCAAAGATGTAAAAATCTGAAATGTTTGCATAGGGACAAAGAGATGAAGCCTAAATGATTAAAGTGTTTATCTATGCCTTTGCTCTGTTGATTTGGCTAAACTCAATGTGTATTCTCTCAAAACTAACATTAAAACACAAATAAATATGGTGCCTGTGAACAAAAGTACTCTATGGTGACATATTGTACGCGAACATACAGTGTATGCTTTTCATTATTTTGTGTTACTTTTTTTAAGTATGTAGGTCAAGAGTAGCAGTGATGCAGTGGTGTTTTTGCACATCTATTCAGCCAGATAATACAGTAACTTATTGGTGCATTCCCACCTTCAATGTATGAATCTGGAAAAAATAAACCACAGACCAGGATCTAACCTTTTCCTCTTTATCAAGCAAAAGAAAAGTATCATTAGATAAATACATACAAAGCTGTTAGTGGTAGCCATAGCACTTTTGGTGAGCCCACTTGTTTCTTCTGTGATTTATAGAAGCTTGCAAAGTATTGGCTCATTACCACCACCAATGGGGCAGGTATGAGTCTGGAATATAAACTATGAATATCTTCAGTATCTGACTAGCACCAGGCTCTACCCTCCTCTGCTAAGCGTCATGGCATTAGATTTTAGCAATAAACCCAAAGCCCCTTTCTGCGGGGCGGGCCCATAGCCACCCAACCAACCAACCACAGTCCCCGGCACTGTCACGTGCCTCCGGGTGACCAATGAGCAGCCGCAGATTAACCCGTTTGCCGCACCCAAGTGGGATGATGGTGGATGGGCGGAGCGACCACGCAGGGCCGACAAGCGCAGGGAGATAAACCCACTCTGAGATCACCAGGGTAGGGGATAAAGATAGTGAAAACCGCCGTGCAGCTTTCACCGAGCGTTGTTTATATTTCATCACTTCTTCCAAGAGAGGGTAAGCTCCGAAATAGTCGATACGGTTTGCATTTCAGCGGGAGTGTTTGCCCGATGCAACACGGCCCATGTGTGTTTTTTAATGTTGGTGCCATAGTCGTTCTCCTTGTGTTTCAGAGTCGCGAGCTCTTCCACTGTTTTGCTAGTACGTTGCCTTTGATCTGGAGAGTCTGCAGAGAGGAGGTCGAGCACGTTTTCTAATTGTAAAACGACTATTTGTGTGTTTGAGTGCTGTTTAGTGGGTTCACCTCCTCATAGACGGTTTCCTGTGAAGAACAAAAACAGTCCAGGGCTACGCACACTGTGCCCGGTGTGTTTGGCTCCAAGACTCGTTAGCCTGCTGCCCGAGTAAGGCCTGTAGTTGCATTATTTTGCATTTCACATGCGCACAGGTACTGTAGGCATTTAATTGGCTACTCTTGTGCTGCTCAGTTTGATTCATTTCCCCATTTAATGTTTCAGCACTAGGTGCTGTTTCTGGTCTGGGCGTGTGTTGAAGCAGGGGGAATCTGGGCTGTATTCAGTGGTGTGGTGATGGAGCAGTTTCCTGTCCGAGGTCAGACAGACAGCAACATATCCTGCATGATATTAACTCTGCACATTGATTTTTAAATTGTAAGCAGATAAGTTATGCAAATCAGCATAAGAAAAAAAAACACAAAACCTCTCTGAATCAGATAGAGGAGGCTACTTTGTTAATCCCAGAGGAGAATTGTACTGTTACAGCAATCAAATCACATCAACCATAAAGAAAATACTTAATCAATGTATAGATTACAAACCAAAAAAACTTAAGATAAAACTTGGACCATACTCTAAATATACACTATGCAATGGTAATACACTGTACACAAAATTTATCATAAGGAGTCATTAATTGAACAAAAGTTTCTCAAATGTGACAATTTTCTTCTTTTTTAAATTTAATATAAAAGTAAATTGAATAATCAACAGGATTTGGGCTGTTGATCAGATAACACTTGTGACGGGTTTCACTGTTTTGTGACATTTTATAGACTGAAGGATTGATATGGCAGTTGTAAAAATAATTGACAGATTAATCTATAATTTGTAGGCCTAATAACAGCGTTAGAGAGGGGATGCAGAGCTGATATTAACCTGGAGGTTTTTAATGTTTCAATGTGCTGTGTTGCCTTGTTGACTGACAGTTAGCTGTATGCTTTTAGGCCCAAACTGAAGGAGATAAACACCATGTTGTTGCTGTCTCTGGCCCTCTTTCTAAAGTGAACTGTGAAGTCCCTTCCCCCTTACACAGTATGAGGATTAGCAAAGCCAAACTGTCAAGATAAATTGTGTGTGTGTTAATGGAAGGTAACTCCCTGGATTTGGTCATTCTGTTACAATGAGTGAAATTCCCAAAGGAGGAGGCAGCTTAGCTCTGTCAGTCTGGCTCTGTGTTGCCACCCTCAACACACACTACACTACTACACACATGCATGTACACTCACTCTAGATACAGAGCTCTGTGTTTGTTTTACTCCCACTCCTCACGCCCACACCCTTGACTGCAGTGCAGCTGAAAATGTGTTCCTCATTTCAGGTCCTTTCTCTCTATTTCACTCTTTCCTTCCTTCCTCTTCATATGTGATCACTTACCAAGGCTTCAGGATGCTTTTTTTTTTTTTTTTTTTTAAAGTTAAAGATGTCAAAACAGTCATTTTTGAACTTGCATTCACACTTCAGAGGTCACTAAAGATCATGTCAATATATGTAGCTATGTTTGGAGTCAAATATTTAGCCTAGCAGAGTGCTACACAGATGCACACATGATAGTACAGGCCAGAGTGTGTGTCTAGGGAAACTGTACAGGGAGGGGTGTGTTGTTTCAGACAGCAATCTTCCGCCACTCTGTCCCATATGACGTGCGACAGCCAGATAAACCCTGGGCCACTGTACTCGCATGCTAACACAACACTGCGTCTTGCCTGGCCCTGGCAGACTGTGACAGATAATACCTTTCCCATACTGTTAGTCTCACGGGTGGTGAAGCTTACCCACTTTACATTTTAAGAAAGAATTTTGTTAGCTTCGTCTGAGGAGCTATTTTTCCTAGCTCTCAAATCAAACGGTGGCATATTGGTTAGCTGTAATTAATCTCAAAGTCATAAATTACGTTTTAGGTTGGAAATCGGTCTGGAAAAGGTCACATTACTTTCCTTAGACTTTCATTCTAGTTCCTCTTTGCTTTGGGTCACTGGATCCCATTGATGCTTTTTTCTCACAAGGTTATCATCAGTTGACTAAGCACAAATACCTGGAAGCTGCACTCTGGAATATGATTACGTAGACTAAATGTAATGTAGTGAGTGAGTGGATGATAAAGTGACGTCCTCCTAGCTGGCATAATGAACTATAATCCTCCATAACACCTCCAGGCCTGTCCGCCTGACTTCAATGAGCCCGGCACATCTTTGCAGTGTTTTTCAGTATAGATTTTAGTTTCTCAATTAATCGTAAATTTGAGAATAATGCCCACTATAATTAACCACAACAATATTCAGATATACTGTTTTATTTGTCTAACAATCCACAACCCAATGATATCCACTATACTTTCATATATGACAAAGAAAAGATTAAATCGTCACATCTGAGAAGCTTGAACCAGCAAATATTTGGCACCTTTGCCTCCAATATGACTCCGACTAGAAATGAGAGATTAGAAGATTCAATTTCTGTCAATCAATGAATTGATTAATCAAATAATTGTTGCACCTATAGACCAAATGATTTGATTGATAAACTGACAAAATAATTGTCAGATCAGTCGCTAATGAGTTAGTAATATGCACATCTATCTCTATGTCTCCCCATTTTGTTGAACGCTGTGTTTGTCTGCTGTTACCCCATGTTGTAAATAACACCACACATTACTGTCTGCTGCACAAGACCATACATGGAGTAGTGCTTAAATGTCACCTGAAGCATTTTTGCCAGTCATAGTAGTTAGGGTCTGTAACACCCCACACACACACACACACACACACACACACACACACTAAAGAACAGTTGCTCATGGATTCCTTATCCCCAGTAATGATAGGCATCCAGCTCAGAGATATAAAGAGCCCCGTCTAACTCCTTCTCTTGAATGTCTGAAAATTGTACACACACACACACACACACACACACACACACACAGAGACTGTTACAGAAAGACCAGCAAAACTTTGAGCCATCTTAGTTCGTTTTTTTTTTTTTTTTTTTTACACACACAAATGATACTTTTCACTGGCAATTGCTTGATTGGCATATTTTTGGAAAGAACTAAATGGATCTTTTTTCATAGAGCTTAGTCATGCAGAAAATATGTTTTTTAGTGAAAGCTTCCGTCTCTCAAAAGAGAATTATGATGAAATTGAAATATATACAATATATGTCAAGCAGTTTTTAAAGAGAGAAATGCACTGTGGGAGAGCAGAGAGTCTGATGCTTCTAATCATATAGTATCTGCCTTTTTCTCTTCCTGTCGTTGCCTCATAGCTGCCCCCGTAGAGAATGGAAACATCTGCATTTAGTGGTGTCAGCGCAAGTTCAACACATCAGTTTGAGTCAGACATGTAGAGGAAATTCTACCCCTCGTTTAACGCAACAGTATCCTGTTCATTTTCCTTCTCAGATGTATAGATGTACATCTTCCTGGCAGGCACTTCAGTTTTGGTTAACCATGATTTGTTAGGTATTTAATTCACAGATGCCAGGGACGGTCAGCCAGTGGGCCTGCTACTTTGTCCAGATTGAAATAAAACAATTGTTGGATTGCAGATGAAATTTTGTGCCATAGCCACCATCAGGTCAAACTTTTATTTTGTCCATTATTTTGGTTTATGACGAAATATCTGGAAAACTAATGATATTCCCGTCAGTGTCATGATGTAACAGGTTCAAGTTTTTGGCTGCCATTTCCTTTTGGTGCCTTCGAAGCATGAAGTATAAAAACACTTGGTTCTTATAATGACAAATCAAAATGTCTCCTCTGATTTCTCGCACAAAAGCAGGTGGCTTATATCGTACTGTATGAATGTGATCCTTGATTCATCATCACAACATTTTCCTGTTGCTTGGAGACGAAGAAAGTCCTGCATGCAGTCCACGGGTTTCCCACATCCAGAGTGAAAAACGGAGGCAGAAATAGCAGCTTTTAATGTGCAACATGCTGTCACATGTTCACTGTCAGTACGCAGGCAATCCTCAGTGTGTTATGTCTGCTTTAGGTCTTCATAGCAGGCACTCTATAGCAGCATCCTAAAGGCAGAAGCTCAATCAAGGTGGTTTTGCTGTTACTGCTGTTTGTCAAAGATAAGAGAGACACTTGCCATCAGCCAGAGCTTGGAGAAGCTGAATCTTTCTTCCACACCGACAGGGCCCTGAGCAGTCAGCCAGACAGTCAGAGCCTGCCATAAAATCCCCAACATTTGCAGGGTGGTCCATAATTTGCAAACTTCAGCCAACACCCATGGTTCCACTCATTGAAGACGCGGTACTTTCCAATACAGGTTATCTAATGTACGAGGTTATGGAGGGAAGGGTGAGAATGCCTTTAAGAAGACGGGCCTTCACAAAATGTGCCATTTGTACATTTGGTGCATTTTTTATGTTCAGTTTATTCTGTCCCTCTGAAAGAGGGTTCAAGTAGAGGAGCTGGTCGTCATGGTTTGTCCTAACATGTTGTGACACTAATTCACTGATGCAAAATGACAGGAACTTCTGATGCACAGTGACATTTCTGGAGTTGAGCTTTCGGTTTGTATCTTGAACAGAAGTAAGTTTATAAATATTAATTAGCTCAATGGTCCATAGAAGTATAGTATTTGATTTGCAATTTTAGATTTCGTTGCCATGTTTTTTATTCAGTGTGTATTGAAAGTCTAGTTGTGCTTGAGTCGTTCTGACTTAAAGTCACTGAGATATTTTGAGTCTAATGTAAAGTGAGTTACACATTAGTTTGAGGATGTGCGCCTTGTGACACTGACTGGCTTGCAGTGTGATGCTGGCCTACAGCTGTTCTTACATAACACTAATCTTTGAAAGGCTGTCCCGTGTTGCCATGGTAATGCGTTTGGTTTCCATAGCGATTGCACTCTTAAACAGGAGCGGAGGCTGGCCGAGCCCCTGCACCTACATTTCTGAGAGAGACGAGAAACAGGGGTGCTGGTGAGGCGGGGGCGCCTGTGTTTGTGAGATGACAACATTCTGCGCAGATAGAGAGAGCGAGCTTCCTGCGTCTACGGCCATTGTTAATGTCCAGAAGAAATGAACAACTCTGCGACCTGAACGTTTGCTTTAGCATAGTGTATATGCAGCAGAAAAAGCTGCACTAGAGATGTCAATGATAGGAAGGGTGTATAGTATTGAACAGCTGGAGTATTCAGTTAACATTTGTGGCAATGCAGCAGGAAATGGGTTTACTCAAACAAATGCTCCTTTGCATGTCATGTCATGGAAATTATCTGATTTTTAACACCATTAGTAGTTTTTGTGAATGCACAATACAGCCTGTGTCGTCTTTATCCTTTGTTTAATCAGGCATCAAGGTGATGGCCCTGACACAGCAAAACAAAAAACAGAAGAATATTTGAAAGCTGCTCCTCTTTTATCTTTCTTTTTCATGCAGTTTTAGTGATACTTTAAGACTTCATTCAGCCTGTATTTGCAGGTGTTGGCAGATTTTGTGGTAGTGTGCACTGCAGTGTTGGACTGGACTAATGGCAGCCTCGAGAGACAATCGAACAGATCCGGTTACACTATTCCTGCAGTGCTTTAGTGTACAGAGATGGGCCACTGTGAGCAAGCAAGATTAGCATTAATATCAAGCCTTAATTCTGATTTTTAGGGCCTAAGTAATTTCATTAGCTCTCAGTAAAACTTCAGTAGGTCAGTACACCTCCAAACCTTTTGTAATGCTTTTTGCAACAGTAGCAGCCATAGTAGACATCTCCAAAAATGTCCGTCCTGTCTTGTAAGATACAGAAGTTCTTCAGCAACTTCAGAGCTGAAACGATGCAGCCCTAAACAACAAAGGACATTACTGTCCAGCTGCATGGTGCTTAAAACAGTTTATAAAAAGCACAATAAGCAAACGGCTTTGGTTTACATTGGATAACAACGGTTAAAAATGATACACAGCAATGGATACATAGGTGTTTTTCTGTACCAGTATATTCTCCTCTCTAAATGAAAAAGGTCAGTAGGACAGTATGAATGTTTAAACCTTCCAGGTGTTTGTCACTTGTTTGCAGTTGTCCTGTTGTCAGCAGACATGTTTGTTTTGCCTCACTGTTGCTCTCAGTAAACAGACAGGCGGTAAACACAGCACAAACAAGTCAAACCAAAGGGAACGAGATCTGACTGTTGGCGTAGGATGACTATGACTCCTTCCTGTCACCCAGGCTGAAAGCGGGTCAGTCCGGGAAGAACCGCAAACCCTAGTGTTGTCATGTACCTCTGCCGTTTATTATCAGAAACATAAATGAAACCTCTGTTCAGGGTGAATTTTAAGGATGTATATATGGCAGATTTTCATGTGCATCTCACTGTTTTTTGCTGCATTTACATTTTGGAGTTGTATTAATAACAGGCCAGGGAATGGGACACTCTCTTGCTTCCTAATGAGCGTATTTGGCACCAAAGCTAATTGCTCATGTCCCTATTCTTCTGTCAATAACTGATGTCCTAATCACAAGACTGAGACAGAGCAAGAGTCTCCTTCCTGAATGATTGCAGAGAAAGTTTGTCGCCTGTGTTTCACATATTCTTTCTTTCTTATTCACAGTTTAAGACAGTATTTATTATTAGAAAAAGATAAACAGCAGAAAGGATACATCAAAGTTTTTGAAAGTCAGATGTTGTTAAAAAGGTGTATATCCGAACCCCAACTAGTTCCTCTTTGGACATAGTTTGGATGTTCTTTACACGTGGGAGGCGGACGGATTTGTAGAGTATTACATTTTCATATTTGTCTCAATAAATAAAGGTAGAGTTGTTGAGAATTTTATCCAAATAATCCTTTAGATAGGAGGCACAAAATGCAGAAACTACACATTATATTCATTCAATACCAGAATCTGACTTGTTGACGAATGGTTCTTGCTACTGAAATTGACGAGTTAAAAGAAAAACCTCATGTTAAATTTGCAGTTACTAGTCAGAAAACTAACCAATCACACACTACCATCTCAGGTTTTGACTGTAGTTTGGTATTTAGCTACTTTAAAATCACATTTAAATGTATTTAACTTTAAAACCTTAATTTATGATATTGAATTAAAGGTAATTATTAACAACATTTTGTTTCCTTGTATTCCTTGTTCCTGTGGTCTACGTCAATACACAGTTTAACAAAATTCAGTCAGAAAACAGTTCATTTAGTTAATGCTCTCCACAATGTTGATGTTTTGTGATCATTTCATCTCTTTTCCTTCAATGTGTTTATGAGGTGAAAATAGACAAAGACTAGAATTAGCCAAACAGCATGAAGACACAGAAACCTTGATTGGAGGAGGCGACCTGAGATTTGTGAAAATGTTGGATTGGATTTTGTGGAAAATCTCAGGACGCCAATAAAAGCGGGCAGAGACAGAGAGAGGGTCTGTCAGCTCTCAGTGTGATACTGGATGCTTTGGGGTTTGGTCTGCAGTTGTCATGGCAGTTTTGGCTGAACATTTGTATTGATGCGGACTAATGGGCTGCATCGGTTTCTGCCAGAGCACCCCTCCATTACCCATGCATGCTTGCACACACACTTCCCTATGTCTGTGTCCTTCAGAGTCAGAGCTTGAGGAGTCTGTGCGGTGACAGACAGGTGGAGGCTGTTTATCCTCACATACATCCAGCCAGCTGGATGGGCATGGATCTATTGGAAATCTGTCCTTCTCTTCTCTCCATGGCTCTAAATCTCTAATCTCTCCCCGTTGTTGTCACTTTACTCTTTTGGGGCAACAGTTTAATGGAACTTGGTTATGTATGAACAAGGGCTGCACATAGCGACTGTCTTCAGTATTGAATGATTATTTTTTGATTATCCAATTAATCATTTAGTCTATAAAATTCTAGAAGATCCAGGGAAGAAGTGAAAATGTTCGTAATTGATTTCACTTTTTCCGGTTGAATGGTAAATAGACGTATGTCTTTATTTCCAGTGTTTTATTGTCATTTCCTTTGCTCAGCCTTGACAGTCGAGTGATGTTGTGATTCCAGGAAACACATTGCGGAAATCAATTAAAACCTCTCTGGGCTGGGAAGAGCTGTCACATGACCGTGGCAGGAAGTAGGAGAGAGTGTGGTTTGTGTGGTTGGCTTTCTGGGCTAATGACTGACTTATTTCTTCTGTTGGAATCTTAATGTCTCCCACTTAATATTATTCATAGTAACTAAAGATGAATATGGACTTCCTCTGCACATTTAGGAAACAAGCCCCTTAAAATTTTACAAAGTTTGAAGCAAACAGTATACCAAGTTCAAATATGGATGGTATCCTTAGTCTGTGACAAATGTTTGTCTGTAAACTGTAATTTGATATGATTTTTTTAAAATATCAGTTTTATTTTGGCGGTTTTATATTACGTAACACATTGATGCATCCAATCATATTTTTGTAGAGCATGAGGTGTTTTAAAACTGACGCCAGCTTCCAGCCATTTAACTTTCAACTTAAACTATGTTGATGGGGAAATTTGTCTTGCAGCCGACTAAAACACAAAACACACAAAGACTTGAATATAAAACATAATGAAATACATATAACACGTTTGTGCTGAAACAGATAATCGATAGATTATTTATATCAGTTATTTCTCACTAAAAAAATAGTGTAAAGAAGGTAATAATTTTATGGCTGCAGCTTCTACAATCTTGCTACATTCGCTGCTTTTATCGGCTCTATATCATTGTAAATCGAACATCTTCAGGTTTTGGACTGATGGTCGAGCAAAACAAGACATTTAAAGACGTTTAAAACTGCCATACACCACGTCAAACAGATTTGGTGGGAAATGTTGAAACAGACGCATGAGGAAGTGATGTGTGTTAGTTTTGGATTTTTCATTGTTATAAAGTGGCCAGAGGTAAACGGTTCTTCCCCCTCTACAGGAGGCCAGGCCAGGATGAACGGCGAGTCAGGTGCCGGAGTAGTGACGGCCCCCCCTCCCACCACGGCCCCCCACAAGGAGCGGTACTTCGACCGGGTGGACGAGAGCAGTCCGGAGTACCAGAGGGAGAGGAACATGGCGCCCGACCTGCGGCAGGACTTCAACATGATGGAGCAGAGGAAGAGGGTCTCCATGATACTACAGAGCCCGGTCAGTGGAGCTGAGATATGAACTCTGTATCTTTCTGTACTATGTCATCTGATATTGTGCTCACAGTTGATAAATGCACGCTGCCATAACCAGCTTTTAAAAATGTGAATAGGCTTCTTTTAGTGTAGAGGCAGCAGCCCTCTCAACATCACATGATGGATCCAGTTTATTCTCCATCAACAGTGTGTCTGTGAGCAGCTGAATGCCCAGGACAGAGAATTACACTGTTTAAAGGCCTATTGTATGTTTGAAAAGAACTTTCCTGAAAAACAGGCCCTCAATGGTGCTTGCTAGTTTTTGCTAATTCATTTTCATACCAAAGTGGAAAAAACTGAAAACAATGCCAACATAAGGCATCTGAAAAACAGTAATAATAAAAGATATTGGCTAAAATATACCCCAAACAAACCTGCTCTGTTTGTGCCCCTTTCTATTCCTGTTGTTTTGGGGTCATTGCGCCTCTTCGTCTTTGTTTTTCTGCCCTTTTACATATATTTGTGTTTCTGTCCATGTCTTTGTGTCTGCGTTGATGACCGGCAGGCATTCTGCGAGGAGCTGGAGACAATGATCCAGGATCAGCTGAAGAAGGGGAAGACGCCCACGAGCCTGTTGGCTCTGCAGCAGATCGCAGACTTCATGACCACCAGCATGCCTTCCATGTATCCCGCTGCGCCACAAGGAGGCATGGCGGCGCTCAACATGAGTAAGCAGAGAGGAGAATTGAGTGTGTGCGACTTTTTGACCTCAGCCCTGCAATGTTTGTGCTCGCAATGAGTAATGCGGCGTATGCCAGAGTTAATTTCTGAGCGGACAAAGAGTCCAGTCGTATTTCGGTAGGCAGACTCCGTATAATTGTTATTATCTGTAAGTGGGATTTTTTTTTCTTTCCTTCTTGCCATGGTTCTTATTTACTTCTGTACAGAGCACTGTAATTTATCAGTCTTTGCCTTTTATAGTGTCTCTTTCGTCTGGGCATAATTGTTATTTTTCAAACACTTTCTGTCTGTTCCATCTCTTCCTCTCAGGTTTGGGCATGGTTACTCCCGTGAATGATCTGCGCGGCTCAGACTCTATCTCCTATGACAAGGGCGAGAAGCTACTTCGCTGCAAGCTGGCTGCCTTCTATCGGCTCGCTGACTTGTTTGGCTGGTCCGAGCTCATCTACAACCACCTCACAGTAAGATTCTTTATAATACGACAGACCATCACACGTCAACTGATGTTTGTCCAGCAATTCAGTAAAGACAAAATTCACAATAAGGCTTTTAGAATACCCATCCAATTTATATCTGTTCCACTTAAGTGAATAGAAAGAAGCTGTTAAGCCAGTGCATATCTTGATAAATATCCTTTTCATTTCATGTGTTCCTGATGCATTAAGGCCAACAGCCTTAATTGATTGATAAGTTAAGCTATTTTTTTAGCTAATGTCCATGTAACCTTGTAGTCTAATGTGACTGTCTTCTTGTCTTGTAGGTCAGGGTGAATTCAGACCAGGAGCGTTTCCTTATTGTCCCTTTCGGGCTCCTGTACAGTGAAGTCACTGCCTCCAGCCTGGTGAGAATCTCTGCTGATTCCTAATACGACTGAATGTCTTTTCTTATGTTTTCCTTCCACTTTTCTGTCAGTGAGTGAAACCATTTATTTATATTTATATATATTTACTTATTTCTGTTTAGATGAGTCCACTTGGAAAAAAAAAGAAAGAAATGAACTGCCTGTGTTGTCTGCTTGAGATTCTTTGACTAACGCTTCGTTGTCTGGCCGCTCGCCTTCCAGGTAAAGATAAACCTTCAAGGTGAGATAGTGGACCGGGGCAGCACCAACCTCGGAGTCAACCAGGCCGGCTTCAACCTCCACTCTGCCATCTATGCTGCACGGCCCGATGTCAAGTGTATCATACATGTACACACACCTGCGGGTGCTGCGGTAAGGGACTGTGTATACACAGTAATTATACGCAACACAAACGCAGACATCGGCGCATCATAGCCTTATGTTCTGTGGCCCTTGTGTGTTTGGTTGCAGGTGTCGGCCATGAAATGCGGCCTGTTGCCCATCTCACCTGAGGCGCTGTCTCTGGGCGAGGTGGCCTACCATGACTACCACGGCATACTGGTGGATGAGGAAGAGAGCACCCTTATACAGAGGAACCTAGGGCCTAACAGCAAGGTAACAGCAGTGTGTGAATCAGTGTGAACGCAACAATGAGAGACAGAGAAATGTTGCCTCCACAGCTGAGGAAATGTTAATCAGAAATGTATTTAAAAAGTTTCATTTTATAACTTCATAAACACATAAAATCAATGTTTTATATGCCTCCGTGCTGAAGAGAGCCAATCAGAACATGGTTACAAATCGACGAATCAGAATAGGGCTACACTATCCGATCATCCAGCCCATTCTCATGATCCATGATATCTCAGCAATGTCTTGAGGGGATTTCTTCAAATTCAACACAAGCATTCACGTGGACTTGAGGATGAACGGATTAGATTTTGGTGGTCAAAGGTCAAGGTCACTGTGACCTCACAAATCCGTTTTTAGCCATAATTCAAGAATTCCCATAGCAATTATGAAGCAATTATGACAAAGTTTTACACAAACTAGTCTGAGTGGTGGAGGCATACAACCGCAAGGTGGTAATTCTAATTTGTTAATCAGAAACAACAGTAGTGTTTTGTGTATGGCTACCATGTTTTAATTCTTCCTCTGTCCCAGGTGCTCATCCTGAGGAACCATGGCTTGGTGTCTGTTGGTGAAACAGTGGAGGAAGCTTTCTATTACATCCACAACTTGGTCACTGCCTGTGAGATCCAGGTCTGTACAACGGAGAATGCTCCCTATGATATGTCAGCTGATGGACATGACAGATTATCAATTTGCTACTTTGCATTACAGTGTGGCAAAAACCATGTATTTTCATTTGGTGTTGTGATATTATGCACCACATGTTTGTCTGCATTTTTCATAACAATTGTCTTTGTCTCCTGTCTCTCTACATCTTCATATGTGTTCGCTTTTCTTCATTAATGTCTGTATGTGTGTGCGCTATGTTGGATGTTTGTTTGTGTGTCTGCGTATGTCCTCATGTCTACACTTTTATTTTCCTTCTGTATTCTGGATCTGTCTGTGGTTTCTCTGTCTGTATACCTCCTCCTTAATATTTTCCAGGTGCGAACACTGGCCAGCGCTGGAGGGCCTGATAATCTAGTGATGCTGGACCCGGGGAAATACAAGTCGCGTCCAAGGGTCCCTGAGCCAGTCGGCGACGGGTCCTCAACACACCCCAAGTGGCAAGTCGGGGAGCAGGAGTTTGAGGCTCTCATGAGAATGCTCGACAACTTGGTACGTACAGAGAGTGGGAGTATAATTTAACCTCTCCTGCTAGATGACCTGATATCCACAATTATTCCAAAAATGCAAAGGCTTCCAAAATGCTGAACTCGTACAGTAGAAAGTACAAAGAAACTTCACAACAATGTGCTGTTTCAGTAAATGTCCCAGTTACTCAGGATAATCTATAGATCCTGTTCTGAACAGAAAAGTGTCAAAGCTCCCAATCACAACTGTTTCAAGAGGTTTGTAGATTATGATGGCCTCAGAGTCTGAGACAAAAAAATTCAAAAATTCTTTGAACATAGTTTTTAACTATGTGAAGTGACCCTTTAAATTCTGGACCCCCTACATGGTCCTTTTTTTACATGGTTACATGGTCAAAACACTTCTAAACCTGTGTTGTTGTTTTCTGTCTCCCTGTCTCTCAGGGCTACAGGACGGGCTATCCTTACCGCTGCCCGGCATTGCGAGACAAAGGTAAAAAGTACAGTGATGTGGAGATCGCGTCCTCTGCCCACGGTGGTTACTCATACGGGGAGGACAGCGACTCAGGTGCTCGCTCCCCGCTGAAACACAGCTTCCAGCGCGGCCAGCGCGACAAGACCCGCTGGCTCAATGCCGGCGGACGGCCCGATGAGCCCTACGAGGACGGGCCCGACGGCAACAGCCCCAAGTCGAAGCCTAAGGTGTGGACGAACATAACACACGATCACGTCAAACCCTTGCTGCAGTCTCTCTCGTCCGGTGTCTGCGTGCCAAGCTGTATAACCAACTGCTTGGTCTGTGCCTACCTTATTGTTCATAGTATAGATTTTACAGCTACCTTGTTGGTGGAAACGGGTAGGTGGCCGGCATCCTGAGGTCCTGGGGACAGTGAGGAGTAAAAGTCTAGTACAAAGTTGAAACCTTCTGTTTTCTGATCATCATTTCTTTAGCCTTTTTTTAACTGCTCGCAGGTTAAAAATGTGGGTCAGGGAAATCTTGCTTTTCACTACTTTTTTAGGCTCACTCACACTGTAATTTCAGATGTCCTATTAACCCACCTTTCTTATGCGGCTACCTCTGCTCGGTTAATTACTTCGTAGGATAGCTGTGATCATTTGTTGACCCCCTGTGCTCTTTATTCCCTTCTGGTCCCCTCATGCTTCACGATGCCAGGCCAGCTGCCCACAGCATGCCCCACTGCATGTGTAGTAGTGAAATGCATTGTTGGTGTTGATGTTTTTCCCAGAGGAGCGAGCAGCAGGGGTGTGGCATGAGTCCTTAAGTGTGGGCAGGTGAATGTGGAAAGACACTGATGTTGCTGCCAAACACATTAATGCTCACCCTGTAATACACGCTCTTTAGTTTTCTCTCTGCATCTTGAAGTTGGCCAACTTTGTTGCTCAAAGCGAGTCAGGGTGACAGATCAAGCAAAAGTAAGTTCAGTGAGATTTGAGGGAATTTCAATTAAAAAACCTTTTTAAGTGTGAGTTTGCTTTTTGGGCTGCTCACAAAGAGTATCTAGTTGACATTGCTCGCATAAAGGAGGGAGGTGGCATGTCTGTTGAACGTCCAGAGTAATGCCAGATACATTATAGACCTTTTGATAATAAAAAATATATATATATATTTAAAGTCATACAACAAAGCAAAAACCTCCTTGGCATAAGAGTTATGCAGCCTGCTTTTCTAATTTTTATTTTTCTCAAACACCTGCAACTGCTCCCAGTTGTATGTTTGCGTTTCCTTTTATTATTTCTATTTTTGTTGTCTCTAATTTCTGGTTTCAGTTTCAGTTTGATTCTGAAAATGGTTTTTGAATACCTCAAGGCTTGCATGAGTGGATTTTGTTTGAAGAGAAAAAAAAAAAAAAAAAGCAGAACAAAAGCCATGAAATTTGACCTGACTTTTGAATCAATTATCTCCTGTTGGGAAAGTAGGAAATGTTGTGTTGTGAGACTCTATCTCAGTGAGTATATCGTGTTTACATGTTCATCTCATACTCAACCAACCCAACCCAGCTGCTTCCATCCAGAAACCCTTCCTCATCTAGCCCCTGGTCTGGCAGCTAACCAGCCGAGCTTAGAGTAAACGCAGGAATGAAGTCATGAGCTCACGCTTACCACTGCAAATTACATGCTTAGTTTCTAAAGGCGAAGTAAAACATTTTTGCATGGAAGCTGAAGATTTGGTTTGTGTATTCACCCGCTGCTCATTCAGTTTGGTGCAAGTAATGGGTGCAGACTTTTGTTTTCTCCCTCAATCATGCTGAGCATTACCAGGTTTATGAAAAGTCGATGGGGTGTTTCTTCACATTGAGAAGAACATATTTAACAAGACAATAAAAGGTTTCATCGTCTGAAGGACAGATACACTCTTGTCTTATATTATAGCGTTGTTCTTTTTTTTTTTTTTTGGGTCCCAGTGGGGACAAGTGTCCTCGGGTGTGTTTCTCTCTTATCTCTGTCGTCCTTGTTGTTGTGTATCAGCCTGGGAAATGACTTTGGTGATGCCAGCTCACCCCTCACTGCCACTCTCGCTTCGTAAGCCAGCCTCATCGTCTCGGTCACCCACCCACCTAACCAGCCACCCGTCCCTCACCTCTCGCCACCACCCACCCCTCACTTCCCACCCTCCCTTACCCTTTCACCTTTTTTCCCTCATTCTGTGATGTTTTCAGTTGATCTTCAGTGTGCTCCCTCTGTTTGCTTTTGATTCTGATAGTACATCAATGATGATGACAAATGTTGTCATACACGAGAACTTTTCATCAGTTTGTGACCAGCGCTGGTCATTTCAAAAGCAGCAAGCTCAAAGGGGGGATTAACCATCTGAAGGATGTTTAAAACACAACAAGCCTTTTGTATTCTTATCATAAATCTTTCCTACTGTTTCGTGTGAGGCTTGCCCCTAAACTTGCCTTTTTATATAGATGCCTTTTCATTCACAAAAATGTTAGTAAAGAGTAAAAAGAAGACTTTCAGCCTGTGGACCAAATTCATACAGATTAAGACTTTTATGATTTCTGGTCAAGTGTTTTCCCTGTTTCGGGGAGAGTCAGACTCTCTGCACATAACTCATACAACAGATCTGGACCAGTCATACATTTCTTGTATGCATTAGAGAAAATTGGCAGTACAAGAGAACCAGCAAAGGCCACATAAATCTCGTACATGCGCCATTTACGAACATACAAGTGGTTCCTGCATGAGGCCCAACCTTTACTTCGCAGCTCCGTATAAAATGGTAAATCTAAACTCCGTACATTTTTCCAAAATTTGTCTCTACAAGAGCATCATGCCTAGACTCTCCCAGGTCTTCTTGATAAATGTCTTCATTTTCAGATCTGAGTTTACAGTTACACACACACACACTGTGCAATCTAATGTACCAAGACAGTCCTAATGCTCACCATTTAAATCATTATGGATCTGTTCCATTCAGTATTTGTGCACAGATCAAACATGCTAGGCTCAGTAAAATTATATCATCCCCAATTACTGGGAAAATAATAATAATAACGATAAGCATCAGAGAGATAATGTACTATAGTTAATGATGGAGAACACTCCCCTACTAAGTGTACTAAAACATAAATGATTTTCCTAAATGTGCCTCATCATCATTGGTTCACCTTTTACATTCACACCTTTTTATATTCATCTTTGTCCATTTCAGTTCAGCATGATTCTTGTATTGTGAAGCCTGCATAGTATTTTGTCTGAATCTATTTTTGTGCTTGGGTTTTCATTTCAGTCAGTTTATCCGGTTTGAGTTGTTTTTTTAACACGTTATGTGGTGTTTACAGTGGACAAAGGAAGACGGCCTCCGCCAGGCTGCCGCAGCCAATCAGTTCATCCCATTGAACACCAATCCAAAGGAAGTCCTGGAAATGAGGAATAAGGTATCGCAGCTTTCTTTTATATTTGGCTGTAGTTGGTTTTCCGGTGATTAGTATTGGTATTGCTTTCTCTGTGTCCGTAGCTCAATGAACGTCTCACTCCTTTTTGCTGCGTGTACTGTTGTGAAGCGAGGACTGTCTAAGATGCACATGGAAGCATCGTGTGCGCTCGTCATTCCTTCATGACTTAAAATGTTGTTGTTTTTAGATCCGGGAGCAGAACCTGCAGGACATAAAGACAGCAGGGCCCCAGTCTCAGGTTCTGTGTGCCAGCACCGTGGTGGAACGCACCTTTACCCAGGTCAGTCTGTGAACTCGGCAAATAAAAACCTCGCTGCTACAGCTATCCTCACCTGGAGATGAATATGTGTCTCATATTGATGAAATACATTAGAGCTTGTGTTGTTTGGTCTGATCTATTGAGCTAGATTTAAAAAAAAAATATAAATAAATAAAATAAAAAACTTTTATAATTATTCTGTCCAGGTCTGGAGTCACCCCTTAAACCAAAACGCTGCAGTGTGTGAATATTGTGTGTGAAGTTGTCCTCGACACTGAGCTTTAATGAAAGAAATCGGACACAATTCAAAATATAATCTGATATCAGTTTCTTAAGGAGTAACTTCACCACTAATAACGGATAGCAAACACATGTCCTCCATGACTTTGTAACTGTTACGTTATTCTTCAACCACAGAGATTGTCACTCTGGCAGGTGAGTAGTATGTGGGAGAGGTAACCTCACTCTGCCCTCCAGACCTGCCAGCTCCGGTTGTCTCCATCATCATACATTGTTTTGTTTGTTTGTTTTTTTTTTTTTTTGTTCTGTCTTTTCTGTTCAGTAGCACAGAGTTGAGGTGTTAACTGTCTCAGCATTTTGCAGACTGGTTACTTTGGTATCTTGAAATGTTCAACAAAATCCCCATTATACTTATTTTTTCGGTGCATGCCCTCTTTTTAATTTTGCGACATACAAATGCAAAACGTGGGAAAATTACTTAAACTGTGCTTTTTGAGTTCAGTTTGCATGGTTTGCACTTCCTTCGTTGGAGAGCTCTTAGCTCTTTTTTTCCACATCTGCTGGATGGACATGTAAAGTTTGAACTCCAACACCATGAGGAGCAGAACACGAGCAAATCAAAACAGAGCTGTTGATTATTTTTAAAGGGTTAGTGGTACCTAAAACTTCACCAGCATGTCAGTAGTAGACCAAAGGAGGCCACGATGAGCTGTTGTCTTGTTAAGAATGCGACTGTATGAAGCACAAACTGTACAGCTCCCCCCCCACCACCACCACCACTGCCTTGTGTGCATGCCTCTGGCTATTTGTTCCATCACTGCTATGCGTTTCACAGTCCCACATCTCTTTCCAGAAACCTCCTCTCTTTGCATGTATTTCCAATGTTTGTGTATGTCTGTATGATTTGTGTTTGTGTGTGTGTTTGTCTATGCAGAGGTGGAAAGTGGCTAACTTACTCTTGCACAGATTTTTAACAAAGAATGAAGCCAATGCTTTTGAAAAAGCAGATTCATACAGAAGTCTGCAGTCATTGTGTTATTGCACAACCAAGAGACTCACTAACTTTTTAAAATTTAGGTCTTCAAACTTTTTTAAGTGTGTATTCTTACTGAAATGGTTTTGATGAGATTGGTAAATATCTGTTACCCTACGTAGCTATGCAACACTTTTACTTGGGCAGTTTTCAACACAAGAAGCCTCACTTCTGCTTGAGTAACACTTTGGTAATAGTATTTCTCATGGAGTGAGATTTTTCTAAGATGTCTTTCCACCTTTGTGTGTGTGTGTGCGTGTGTGTGCGTGTGTGTGTGTGTGAGAAGGTGGTATGTTTGTGAAAGTCTGCACACATTCACGCCTGCCTGACAGACTGCTAATTTGAATGTGCTGGTGTTTAAGAGCTGGGTTGTCCCCCCCCCCACCTCACTGGGTTTACTATTGCAGGACGCCCCTCTGTCTGACTGTACAGACACTATTGATGGCCTCGATGTGTCCGAGGGGTCCTATAGTCCTGCTAAATCAATTAGAAAGGTACTTACTGCTCCAGTCACATATACTATTCACTTGTACTTCACATCATCCTCCAGTCATTCCTCTGAGCCTGCACATAGGCACTCGATATCTGGGCCTGCACAGATGAACTGAACGAAGTGAACAGTAGTGCTAGAATGTGGCAATTTTCTCTCTTGTTATATGTGTATGGTCATGTGACCTAGTCTTTTCTACATGTTTATGCACTCTAGAGCCTGAGGACTTTGCGTACGGTTAAATTCATGTGTTTTTGTGCCTGTATTTGGCTGTCACGAGTCTGCCCACAGGGGAGATTTTCACCATTGTTTCAAAATGTATTGCTGCGGGATGAGGTGGGCAGTGAAGAGGGCAGGGATCCAGTGATGGTGGTGTTTACTGCATGTGTTGCACACAATTTATAAAAAAGAAAAAAATACCTTGAAAATGTAAGTGAAGTTAAAACTAATATTTTAGAGCACCTGGTAAAAATACTGTCGGCTTCAAATCTGTCAGTGCTTGGCTTTTATGTAGCTGCGTTATTGATGGAATGAAGTAACCTGTTATTTTACATCATAATGTGTACTGCCTGAATTCGAAATGGCCTTTTCGCTCAACTTGTACTCTGAAGATACACATTTATTCATCTGGCAGGTACTTCTTCTCATGCTGCATAGTAGTTATGTAGTCCTCAAGTTTGTGAGATTTTCTGCAAGCATTTAACACCGCAGCTAGTTTTCACTATATTAAATCCTTCCATGTGCATCCTGCATTAACCGACGTCTACCTTGCATTGACGCCTCGTCTTTTCCTGCCTTTCTTCTGTCTGTCCTGAAGGGGGAGCTTGTGACCGCGTCCAAGGCCATCATCGAAAAGGAGTACCAGCCCAAGGTTATCGTCAGCAAGCAGGGTCCCAACCCCTTCACCAAACTCACCGACCAGGAGCTGGAGGAATACCGCAAGGAGGTGGAGCAGAAACAGAAAGGGCCTGAAGGTAAAGATGATGAACGGAGCAGAGAAATTGAAAGAAGCTCATCATGATGTGAACAAAAAATGTACTTTCCACATCTCCTCTACTTCTCTGTAATGGCATTTCTCTGAAAGTTTTGGTATTTTTTCTTTTTAAAAAAAAAAAGGTTTCAGGAATGTAAATTGACAGCCAACGTTGCCTGTTAAAATTGCGGATGAATCTTTTTCTTCTCTTCTTTTTTCTTTCTTTTTAATTCCCCCTCAGTTCTGATAATGATATAATGACTAGTGTAGGTTAGTTTCAGTGCAGATGAGTTTAATTATTTACATCTGTTAAAGTATTTTTAAGGCAAACTTGTAATAAAGGGAAAAAAAACCTTTTGCTTTGCTGCAGTTTAATGCAAGATCCAAATAAACTTCAAATTGGCCAAATTGTGATGTTATGTCTCCACACACACACACACGCACATGGATTCACAGTGCAGGGTCGAGGCGCTAGTAGTGAGGGATCAGCCTCCACCGTATCCTGTCCTGAGGCTGAAATGCTACCAAGAGGTGAAGCCTCTGTCTCCACACCTCTACAGTCGTCAAGTGACTCGCCCAGCTTAGAGAAAGTCCCGCCTTTAGCGGCCGCACCCGCTACGCCAGCCTCCGAGCCGATCTCCTCTTCCCTCGGCCCAGCTCAGGGCGGCACTGACTCTGCAGGGACGCTAGCAGATGATGTTTTTTCGACTGCAGATGAGGTTTTTTCAGCTCCAGATTCCCCACATAAGGAGTTCCACTGTGCTGTGCTGCGAGCCCTCAGCAAGGAGTCTTCAATCGTAGAGGTCGCTAAGGCAGATCAGGCTCCAGGTACACCAGATGAAGCGGAGTCGAGCCTAAACTCTGGCCTCCCGCTTCCCTCCTCCCCTGCTCAGCCCCGGTCCACCTCACTACATACCGCTGCACTGGGAGTCTGGGGATCCCCGCCTGCTGTGTCCTCTCCTTTTTCTGGGGGTTTGGAGTCTGCTGCTATTTTTTTTTTTTTTTTTTTTTTTTTTAACCATGTGCAAGCACCCTCCCTACCCACAGTTCAATCTCTGAAGTCTTTGCTTGATTATTTCCCCCCTATCCCCTCTCTCTGATGTCTTGTACAAAGGCATCAGAGCTCTGGCAGATCAGATACCTTTCTGCATTTTGATTGGACGAGGAGCTGAGGAGAGAGGATGTGAGGAGGAGCTCATTTTGAGATTTAAACCCATCCCCTCTCTTTCAGGGTGCTCACTCCTCAAGTTAAAAAAAAAAAAAAAAATGCTTTTGCAGTGGAGTGTTGTGCTAACCTTTGAGGAAGCTGTCTCTGAGCTCGGTCATCCAATCAGAGCATCCCATGTGTGGACATGAATAATGGTGTCCTCCTTCTCTTCCTGCTAACTTGTCCTGAAATTATCTTTGATGGTTTCCACTCTTCCTCTTGTGCCTCTGACTGGTTTCCATTAAAACTAATGGTAGTCGTGGTTTATTTGGCTCTTTGGGACATTTAAGGTCAATTATACTGGGATCTGTTTGAACGGGTTTGCAGTGTTCTGATTAAAGCTTCCTCCCTGGTTTGGATCTGTGTGCTGTCCTCCCTTTTCTTTGTGTTGCAAAATTGCAAAAAGTTTCCGTAACACAAAATGAAGAATATTATTCAGAATCATTTATTTAAACCAGCAAAAAAATATTTCAGATTATAGACATCAGTTTTCTTGTTGATTTCATAGTCTTTAGAGATGTTATTGTTTCATGTCATTCATTCATGCCGATTTTCTTTCAGACTCGGAGCAACTAGTAGAGCTAGAGGAGGAGTCCGAAGACCAGAAACCCACCTCCACGCCACCCAGCACCCCAGTCAGAGCAGAGGATGGTAGGTTGGCCTGACGCGCTCGACTTAACCTGGCTTGGCTTAGTCCCGTCTGGTTCAGCATGGGTTTCTCCAGTCCTCTGGCTGGGTGGTTTGAGTCTTTCTAGGGTCTGCACAGGGAATGCTGAGGCTCCTGCCTATACATCTGCCTGTCTGTCTTGGGGTCTGTTGTTGTTGTGGTCTTTAATAATACTACTACGGATGCTGTGCTGTGTTTTCTGTAATAAGAGGCCAAGAGGTTTTTACTGTTTAATCAGGTTTATCCTATAAGAGATGGATGGATAATTCCAGGGGCAGATAATCTTAACAAAACCACAGTCCAAAGGCTTAATGTCAGGAAATAGTTTGACAAATCAAAAAGATATTTGAAAAATATCTATTTAGCCACTTTGATAGACCCCAGTGCAGACTGTTCAGTCTATTTTTGTTCTTTTGATTTTATTTTCTCCCTCTTGGTCTTTATTACTATTGGATTACACCTATGTCAGCAGTATCATCCATGATGATACCAGGACTGGCCCTAAAGATAAATTTTATAATCTTGGTTACGTTTATTTAAACAATAATTGGCTTTAGTACACGTACAAGTTTTCTTATGAGTCACAGACTGTAAACAGTGAAGTTATCATCAGCATGAGGGAGGGGAGGGGATGGGTAGCTTTGATCGCAGGTGTAATCTAATACCTGAAATGATGTGATATAACATGTCTCTCTATGTACAGTATCTCCTTTACCCCTTCACTTCCATTCTCCATCTTTTGGGGTCTACTAAGAATGGTTCCCAACCATTCTTTTTCAAAAAAATTTTTTCTTCTGGTATTTTTTTTTCTCTCTTCGACATTTTTGTTTCCTTTTTTTAATTTTAACACGGTGCCTGTGATTTGATCTGCATAGACATTTGTTTCTACTTGTGCTTTTTCTTCTTTGTGGCTGCGATTACAATCAGGAGATGGAAATACAAAAGAGTACCTGTTGCCATAGTAAGTATGTACTGTTCCACCTCCTCACCACCCTCCCAATTACCCCGTCACCCTCCACGCCTGTGTTTGATCATTTACCCTTTTTTCCTTCTTCTGCATGGCTTCAGTAGCAGAGCTGTTCTGTGGTTTGAACTAACCCGTCTGCCGGGGTTTGTGACCGTTCAGTCGGTCTTCCCTCGGTTCTCTGAACTCTTCTGAATCTGTCTCTGTGTTGATGGGGGTTATTTCAGAGCACCTCCATCTTTCATCTCCTCAATTTTCAGCAATTCACTGTTAAAAAACAAGAAGAAGAAAAAAGAAATGACCATGGCAAGATGGAAGCAGTTTTATCTGACCTAAATAATAGTGACCTGGTCTAAAGAAAAGTGGAGGATGTTCCTGAAGTAAACCTCACAACCTACCAAACCTTTTATGTTAGATAACTTCTCTCTTCTTCCTGCCAATGATTCACTACTAAACTAACCAACCTCTCTTGCACATATGCACATTCTATCAATGTTATATGACCTTGTATATTTTTGTCTCATGGAAAAATCAGGTAATGTTTTGAAAATGTGTTGAATGTTGTTTGTCTTCCAGACCAGTCCTTTACCAGGTACATCAGTGCTTTATATGAGTGTCGCTTCTGATTGGCTTTGCTGAGACTCGCTGTTGGTTTCGCTTCAAAGACGGTCGAGGCCCAGAGCTGTGGCTGTGTGGTGTTTAGTCTCCATTTAATCTGTCTGTTGTTTGGCCTCATCTCTGTTCTGACAGACACGAGAGATGTGAACTGAAGACTCACATGTAGTGTTTTCTCAGGTCTTGACAAAGGGTTTTTTTTCATGCTAGTCTCTGTTGCATGTGAGCAACATTAATGACGAACAGAGCTGTAGTTGTTTTTGTGGCTGACTGCACAGTGTGAGCCCGGAGCAGTGGTTTGAATGCTGTGTGGGCCACTGAGGATAGATGAGACGGTTACCTTAATAACTATCAGTTACTAGAAAAGCCAAACTAAATCAATGCTGGTACTAAAAAAAAACAAAAAAAAAAAAAAATGAAACTGATTTCTGCTGTCTGATTGTACTCAAATATACTAAAGCAAAATTGGTGATGAGCCAATTAAGCTTAAACTTTTGCTTTAGTGTTTTTGGTTAAAACATTTTTAAAAGATAACCAGTCCAAACTAACTTCAAGTTATTGCTTCTCGAGAGCTGAGCAGTTTTGAAGTAATTTACTTTTATCCCCTCCCCGGACTTGTTATATAACCTCACTTGTGTGGTTTTGTCATTAAAATCTCTGAAAGCATTGCAATATATATATATATATATATATATATATATATATATGTATTTTTTTTTTTTTGTGTGTTGTAGACTTTCACTTTTGTTTGTTTGTACACAGGGTGCAAATGAGCAAGGGAACTGCACTCATTAAGATTTCCCTGTTTAAATGAAGGTAAAACGAAAAACGCTGTGCACCAGCTTTGGCCTGTGAGAATAGGGAGAATAAAACGATTCAAAGAGAAAGAAAGAAATCCTGATTAGTAATAAGAGCAAAGCCTTATTTTTTTTGTTGCTTAATGCCAGTGTCTAAGGTAAAAAGGAAAGACAATGAGTTCTAAAGAGAAACTTGCAGTTCGTGTCTGTGATTTAATGGAAATATTGCATCTTACTTCGGCTTTTCATCTGAGGAAAAGTGCATGTTTAGGTGTGAGGTGTACTTTTGGCTTTTTGTAGGAACATTGCTTGTGGAAACTTTTGTGCTTTAAGGCTCTTTTAAACTGAATAGCACATAATTATATTTTTATACATCTCAAAGTCGAGATCTGATGCCTATAACTGATTTGAATACCTCAGTCTAATAGATGGTGGAAACTAAAGAAGCCAAGTTCTCTGGACAAGTGGAGGCTTTTTAAGTAGAAAATCATGTGGATTTTACAGCTTATCAAGTGGCTAATTTGTAGTAGCTTCACTGATGTGTGAGCTCTGCAGCGCAAATCCATCAATTTGTCCTCCAAGATCAATAACTCTCACCTTCTCCCCCCCCTGCCCCACCAGAATCCTTGCCTGAACAAACCTATAAGGATGAGAGCGATGCAGCCACCCTGAGACAGACCCTTCCAGATTTAACACCCGATGACCCCTCCGATGCCCCAGCACTTCCTGCCGAAGACTCCGCCTCTGCCCCTGCCATCGCAGACGCCGTCGAGGGGGAGGAACCCGCTGACGCTGGCGACCAGGAGGGTGACGAGTCTCCCAGCAAATCACCCTCCAAAAAGAAAAAGAAGTTCCGCACTCCTTCCTTTCTAAAGAAAAACAAAAAAAAGACAGAGTCCTAGATCGGAGAATGTTGGATCGGTCCTCACGGCTGCCCTCCGCCTCTTTTACGTTTTGCTATTTGTCTGCTATCATTGCACCCTTCGAGCAAGCCACAGTTATACACAGTTACGCTTTTTTGTTCTTTTGATATCATTTGTCGCTGGCTTATTAACCTATTTTTCCTCGTTAGTGTGTGCCAATTTTGTATACAGTGTAAAAATGATTGCATCAGAATTTTTAATTATTAGAGGCTTTTAGTTGTGAGTGAGTGATGCATTCGGTCTTGTCCACTCCATCTGGCCTTTTGTGCATGTCTATTACTGCAGGCCCACACGCTTGATGTGAGGTTTTAGGGTTTTACCACCCTCATTTTTTTTTTTTAAAAAGAGTATTACTAAACTGTTATAACCACTAGAATGTATTGGGATTGTATCAAATTGTCAAAGTGTCTTTTAAAATACAGTGAACGCAGAAAGAGAAGCTTGTACCCTCTCATTTAACTGGTGGTAAATTCTGACAGTAAGAACTACAAATTACATATTTCTAATTTTACCTCTGAAGCTGTGCACCCATGTAATTACATGTTAGCAGGCCAGGAGAACTACAGTTGGGATATTTTCAGTGGATTGTTTACCTATGGAAAATGCCGTCATACAGAGTCCATATTAATGTATCCATAATCCAACATTATGATTAAATCATCTGCATACAAGCTTAATCACATCCGCGGTTTGTTGACTTTTGTTGACTTAAATTTGATTTAATCTTTCACAAACCAGATTCATTAAAAACACCCATCTGCAGTGCTGCAAACCTGCAGAAAGTTTGACCATAGTGATGTTGAGCATGACTCACAGCAAAGTGTGAGTCATCCTTGGAAGTGTCAGCAAGGCTTGTGCCTGCTGATTATTCGCAGGGGTTGATAATGTATTTACTACTGGCTGTAAGTCTTTAGTATGAAGGAATGTGTAAAAAAAAAACAAAAAAAACAACAAAATCTCAGTTTACATTTTTCATTTATTGGGATTATTGATTCTTGGCTTTATTTTGCATTTACCCCTTGATTTCTCTCTGTTGCTGTGAAGGATGGGACAGGCAGATATGCTATGTATTGTGTGAGATTTCATATTTCATCATCATATTTCTTTTATTCTTGATAATGTCTTTAATTATTTTTTTTTTTAACTTGTTGCGCTTTTCGTCACAAAGTAGATTGAGCCATGACGACTTGCTGTGAGAGAGCACTGTGAACCTCCTCTTTTATAAACCACTGTCTGGGAACTCATACCACACAATGTAGGTTGTAGGTAGTCACAGTCTGTCATAGAAGTAGATACAGTTGTTATGGAATATGAGAGTGGTAAAGTCACTGCTGCGAAGCTGCATGATCAGTCATTTTTCAGAACCTTCAACCTGGACTTTCCTGTGTAAAAACTCCACTCTGAGCAAACAGACTTTGTCGCTGAATACCTGTGTGTTTCCAGTTGCAGTAAAGACACAATGTACACTGGAGAAGCTATTGCATTTTTGTTTTGTCATTGATGTGTATTCATTGCAAATGAGCTATGCTTGAGGTTGCAGGGCATTAATACCAAGGCCATCTCCATGCATTGCTTCCTAATTTGGGTTTATTCATCCTGTTTTAGTGAGGGGTTCATCATCAATCTGTCTAACTCATGGTGAACCAAAAGGCAACACTGACAGGAAGCTTCACCTAACCTGAGATGCTTAAAAAACCTTGGCCTTTGTTCACTGCAGGTGGTTTACCTACAGAGCTACATATAAGCTGAGAATGTCTAACTCCTGAAGGACTGCATGTGTAGAGTGCTTAGAGCGTGTACTGTCCTTTAAATGACTGTAACTACCCCTTTTTATTTGATCTGTATTTTATTTTAGCTTTAGTGTGCTGATAATAATACTAAAGTCCTTGTATTCATGGATTTTATTTGAGTCAACTATACATTTATATCTTTTTTTTTTTTTTTTTTAATCCCACAGCTATGCTGATTTGTATTCTCTGTCTGAAATACTTCCAATTTAAATGTGTCTCATCATTATACCATTTACAGACTTAATACTTCCACCTCTCTTTTCTCATGGTTCTGCCTCTTTTACAACCATGAATAAAAAAACACTACCTTAAAAAACCAGTATTGTGTGATTGTATTAATCTATATAGTAGCTCAGTGCAAATAATATACTGTACAAATTACTTTACACTGGAAGAAGTGGAACCACAGCAAATATAACATATAATAATATGACATGAAAAATTGTTGATAAAAGTAAAACTCTGCAGAAACATTCACACACCGCTGTATTATGCTTATTTACATGTGTCATAGACTCTGGGTTTCTACTCCTAATGTGCCATTGAAGCTCATTCAAGCAGTTACTATAACTTAAAAGAGAGGGGAAACTCTGACACCTGGTGGACAGATGACACAGCTAATGACGCAGCTTGTCTTCCTACCTGGCCTGTGTTTGTCTCCAGTATGAATGTGTGCCAATGGTAAGGCCCCCTCAAGGCACAAGGAGAACCTGGCCTCTGTTGGAATAGTGTAAGAAACACCTTAACCTTTACATTACAAGGCCAGCATGAAGCTTTATTAAACAGTGCCAGTAACATTAGCTGTTAAGTTTTGTCTTCATGAATTTAATGGTAAGATAAAATGAAAGCATGTCAGTTGCATTAGCTGCTAACTTATGGAAAACAAGGCTAGCCTGAAGCTAAGCAGTGCAGTGTCACTGACTTAAGTAAGATATTATATGGCTGCCATTAACTGCCAAGCCTTTAAAATTTGGACATCATAAAGCTAGCATTAGCTGAGTTTTGAACATTTTAAGGGTGGCATTACCAAACCTTTGGACATTAGGCTAGCTGCCAACTTTTGGACTTTGTAATTAAAAAGATAGCTTTAGCTCCTAACCTTTGAATATTATAAAGCATTTTTTTCCATTTTATTTCACTTTTTTTTAAATATAGATCTTTATTTGAAGAAAGTCTGTGAAACTTATGATTTTTAACATTGAAAACCACACAGAGCTTAAAAAGAGAATTGCTTATTTGATAAGCGTTGAACAACAAGCGTGTCCCAGCTGAGTACATCACTTTGTGGTGTCCCCTTGAGACACATCAGTTGTTTGACTAAAAATAGGTGTAGGTATGTTTTGTTATTTCCAGACTTAGACACGGAGAGTGCACTGTGTAGCTAATGCTAACGATGGCTATTTTAGAAGTTACTTATGGCACAAGACATAAAAATGAATCCTGGTTCTCACGTATTTGTGCTGAAAATTATTGGAGGCTGCTCTATATTATACCCCGTTTTGTATATAATCCTTGCTTTCTTTTGAAGGATGTATGTTGGTGGCGCTGTAGGCAATTTTACACCGGAAGTCGCTGTTGTCTACTAGTTGGATTTCAACTTTGACCCCAGTCTGTGCACGCTGGAAATGGAAACTCAGTAAAACAACGTGGATAGTGAAATATTTAAGTATTATTCGTTAAGTTCAGCTTTGGCAGAGCTTCAGTGCCCGATGTTTTCCCCCGCCTGGATTTAATAACTCGACTCCTCAACTCGACTGAAAGGTAAACAAAACCGGTTTGATAATGTTACCGTGTTTACAAACTGTTGTTGGTTCATATCGAAGGTAGTTAGCTATAAACCCCCTCCACTTTTTGCCTTAGTCATTTATTTTTTTATTTAATTTCATACTTTTTCTTTGCGTACATTAGAGTCAGACGTATTCGTCTGTGGTAGCCTAAAAAGCTCACTTAGCTAATGTTAGCTAGGGGAGATGTTATTTAGGGCTAATTTGATTCAGGTGGTGTGTTTAAAATGAGTTGCAAAAGATGATCTGATTCATATTAGTAGATTCACATTAATAGAAAAAGATGAAATAGAAATGGAGTACAGACTAAAGATTGAACGAAAGGGGGTGAATATACAATAATAGTAATATAAAACACTGTACGTTACAGCAAGTAATTTGGATATTATGTAAAAGCTGTCATTGTACATTGAACAATGACACTGTAATGTCAGTAATGTTAGCTCATCAATCTACTACTTTGCCACAGATGGGAAAGGCACCTAAGAAGAGGAGCCTTGCCGACAAGGTCCGAAAGACCAAGACCTCTACTGAGATCAAAAACAACCCCTTTGAGGTGAAAATTAACAGGAAGAAATTTGATGTTCTGGGGAGGAAAAGCAAGCATGATGTGGGTCTGCCTGGTGTGTCTCGATCCAAAGCCATTAATAAGGTAAGAGAAAAACTCATTTTGTTACCCTGCTGGGGTCACCGCTCATCACCATTTAACACTGTGCTGTGAAGTCTTTTCCTCACAGCATTGTGCTGGGAGAGGGATTTTCTACACTCAAATTTGTAACTTGTAAATAATCAGTGTTTTTGCAGCCTGTTGGATCTTAGTGTGTCAGTGTGACTGATCAGGAATGACATGCAGTGTTGTTAATTTTTCTCTCTGTAGAGAAAAGAGACCCTCCTGAAGGAATACAAACACAAGAGCAAGTCCAATAAATTCATAGACAGACGCTTTGGAGAGTATGACACCAAGATGGCACCAGAAGAAAAAATCCTGCAGAGGTTTGCAATGGAGAGACAGGTCAGTGATGTGATAATGCTTTTGTATTACCTTTAAGGATACAAAGGACATCAAGTCCTGACATGAAAATGGATTTAGTATTTACTGTCTAATGTTTCATTTTTCCCTGCTTTGACTTTAGTCTATAGCTTTGGCCTTCTGAAATGATCATATACTCAGACTTCTAGTGAAGCAGTAGCTCTAGCAGTTCTGTCACTTTCTTTTTGTACTTCATCTTCCATGCAGCAGATTGTGCAGTCATACATTATATACACATAAGAACAAATTGAACAGAGCAAACACCGGTCAGACTAAGCAGAGATTTTCTGCACTTCTTCCTTTGGGCTAAGAAAGTGACTACTTGTAAAAAAGTTAATTAAGTTGTTTATCTTGCTCTGTAACTAACTGTATTGACTTAACATTTTATCTCAGCGTGTCCATGATAAGAAGGATGTGTACAACCTGAACGAGGAGGAAGAGCTGACTCATTATGGCCAGTCACTGGCTGAAATGGAGAAATACAATGACCTTGTGAATAGTGATGATGAATCAGAAGAAAAAGGGCTTTTGTCTGGTGAGTATCGTCCAAGTCCAAATGCCAAATTAACTTTTTATTAAGTTAATTTAACTTAAATTACATTTTTGCATGCAGATGCTTACATATATTTATGTGGTTAAAGTGGACAGAGCTGGTACATAATAGTGACAGTCTCTCTCTTTCTCACCTAGCTGAGTTGACCGCTTCCCACTTCGGAGGAGGAGGAGGAGGAGGCCTCCTGAGAAAGAAGACATCTGGGGAGCAGCAGGAGGAGGAGGGAAACCAGAGGGCCAAATCCAGGCAGGAACTCATTGAAGAGCTCATCCAGAAGTCCAAGCAGGAAAAGGTGAGCCTGTAACACACTCCTGTTGATGGACACACAAGAAAAAATATTAAACTATCTTGTGAAATTTCATTTCATTTCATTCATCTAAAGGATTATGGCTGTTTACTGGCTGATGATTGTAGTGATTGTCTAGAGGAGATGTGGCTTGGTCCAGATTATTAACTTTTGGGTTCTTAATCAGCGCGAGCGGCAGGTGCAGAGAGAGGAGGCGCAGGAGCTGACTGAGAAGCTGGATCAGGAGTGGAAGAACATCCAGGCGCTGATGGTGAAAAAGACGCCAAAAGCTGAAAATGCTGACAAGCAGGAGGAGAAGCCCAAGGTAGGGATTCACCAATCACTCAGCAAATTGTTGTTGTTCCTCCACTTTGTGCTTTCTTTAGATCAGTGCCAGAGCCTGATATGTTCTTGTTCTCATTCTGCTTCCTCTCTTCCAGCTGGAAGAGTACGACATGATGGTCAGAGAGCTCGGCTTCGAGATGAAGGCTCAGCCCTCAGAGAAGATGAAAACCCCAGAGGAGCTCGCCAGGGAGGAGAGGGAGAAGCTGCAGAAACTAGAGGTACACGCTCAGTGCGAGGTTGCTGTTGAACATTTTTCCCTCAGAGAAAACTTTAATTTTGACATGTTTTGATGTTGTGTGTCATAGTAGATTTCTTTTTGCTCTGTGCTTTCTCCAGGCTGACCGTCTGAGGAGGATGATGGGAGATGAAATCGGGGAAGGTGCACAGAGTCAGATCCACATGTCTGCTGATGACCTTAATGATGGCTTCATCCTGGATAAAGATGACAAGAAGACCCTGTCTTATCAGGTGTGAGACACCACAAGATGTGGGATTTGAGGGTTAATGTATCTGGAATACTCTTCATTGATTTTTACTTCAATAAAGAACCTTTTTTATTCATTTACCTTTTTATTTGTCTAGGATGGAAAATGGAACCTCGGGGAGGAGTCTGACGAGGACAGGGATGTAGATGAAGAAGAGGGAGAGAGTGGTGAGGAGGAGGAATCAGAGGCAGAGGAGCAAGATGATGAAGATGAAGGTAACGAAGATGGTGATGAGGAGGAGGGGGAGGAGGGCAGCAGTGAAGAAGAAGAAGAAGAAGAAGAAGATGGCCACTCTGATCTGGACTCTGAGCAAGAAAGCGAGGATGAGGAGAGAGAACAGGAGGATAAAGAGCCCAGTGCAAAACCGAAGAAAAGTCTGAGCAAAGAGGAGATGAAGGCCCAGCAGGATGCGGCTAAAGCAGAGCTTCCATACACATTCACTGGTAAATACACACAGAAATAGATTTTTTTTTTAAAGAAAGGTGGTTTAATTCTTGAGTACATTTCTTTTCTTTTGGAGTTTACTTCTGATATTCATCTCAAATAGAGACATTGTAAGTATCCTGAGTGAAGATGAGATGAGTATTCATCCTCACCATTCTCCCTTTTTAGTAATCTGTTCATTCTGTTTCTCCAGCTCCAGAGAGCTACACCGACTTGAAAGATTTGCTTTCTGGCCACACCCCTGACAATCAGCGACTCATCGTGGCCAGGACTCAGAAGTGCAACCACCCTAGTTTGGCTGTCGGCAATAAGCTCAAATTGCAGGTACAATATGGAATAGGCTTTATTTTTGTAAATAAATATCACACTTTTTTAACCAGTTTCAGGTTACT